TGGCCAGTTCGTGATTGGCAAACTCCACTCCAGCAGTATGCTTGACTATTGGAGCATGGCCAGCCATTGCGCGCGGTCAGGTCCTCTGGACATGTGGCAGTCTCGCCGTCGCAGTACTCCGCCACGTCACAGTCGCTGGTGGCGGCGCGGCAGACGTGATCCCGGCGTGTCACGATGCGCTTGTTCACGCAACATGGGTCCGTGTCCAAACACCCTGCATTAAACCAACACACAACAACAACATTGGTCAGTATGCCTGACATTGGTATGACAGTAAGAAATCAGTCTCGAAAATCCCAAAGAAAAATGTGTGCAGCATGCCAATTATGCCCGCAGCAGACATCGAGAAAAAAATGATGGGAGGTACTATTTAGGGACTTTCACGGTCTTTGAGGGGCTCGGCATGACAGATGGAGCAGACTTTTGGCTTGTAAATCCACAGCCAATACTGTTCTTTATGTCGAGATGCTGGACGGGCTTGAGTAGGAGCTGATTATTTCAATCCATTGGACCAGAACACATCCCATCCAACATCTACGACGGCCTGACTACCCGTTCTATGGGGTGTGCTGGCGAAAACTCACATCAGGTGATGTAGTGTGTCCGTAGTGCAGCTGCAACTAGTTCTAGTGACCACTGGAGAAAGCTTAATTTCTTCACTCCACCCGACCAGTGGAAAAGTTGCATTTCCCTGACATAAATCTACTCGGCTTACATCATCGACAAACCATTCACGGCGGCTGCAAGCAAGGTCAAACCATTATATCAAGGATCCATAATCCTCCAGAGTGCGCAACTTCACTGATCAGATCTGGGACGGCAAAATCCGTGTTGCACGTCATAGTGTGACATCATAGTGTGACATCATGAGTAGGGGAAGTGTGGACCGTAGTTGACCGCGTCGATGCAATGACGCAAGTCCGACCCAAAAAATGACGTACATCACGGATTACGCCGGCCCACAACCCCATCCCAGTTGAGCACTCTGGGGGATTATGGACTCTTGATGATATTAATGAGGCAGGGACACTCCACTTCTCAAAATCCGCTGTTATCTGTTATCCCGCTTATGTTTCCCGGTGACACAAAATGGGCATTTTGCAACAAGCCAGGAGACCAGAAGTTGCTGGGGCCGATGACCGGCATTCATGCATGCAAGTTGGCCTAACTACTCCAACCAACGACAGGCAATCAACTACTACAATCGCCGTACCTGATTATTAGCCGTACCCAGGTTATACCCATCCACCCTGTAAGTCGCGGTTTATTTAACCACCCGAGTGGGAGCAGCACAGACCTTTTTTTGGGGGGGGGGTGCAAATTAGGAGTGTTTAAAATGTGGACTATAATCTGAACACACGAGTAGTATAGTGCGGTAGGGGTTTTGGTTCTGGTAGTTTTTCACCGCACACCGTGTTTCACCGCACATAGATTTACAACGCGAAAGAAATGTAACTGCAACATGCAGTACGCACAGCAAAGGAATGCAGCGTATTCACTTCATTACGTAGACACTTACGGGTCTGGCAACGGTCACCAATCCATCCTTCAGCGCAGGTGCAGGTGCCGTCTTCATTACAACGACCCTGATTCAGACATGTTTTGCACTCTGCAGCAGTTATTATGTGCAGTGCATGACGTACATATTGTGTCAGTGCACAACAAATAGCAGCAGAACAGCACAGCATGGTTAGTACATGATTCATGATCATCATTGGGTGCGACACGTCAAAGCAGTTTTTTCTAAACATCCAGTTTACACAACACCCCAGGTGCACTGGGGGGAGATCCACCACATTCAAACGGAATGATATAGTAGTAGTGGATCTGGATCTTGATCAGGGTCTGAAGAAACAATCACAACCTCAGCCTCATATGCAATCAGCGAAAATAACTGTTTGCATTGACAAAAAGAATGTCTTGCTACCTACCGAGTTGGCAATGTTCTCCGTAGAATCTTATCGGGCAGGTGCATTTACCATTGTTGTCGCACTGACCCTGGTTCAAGCACTTGCAGTCGTCTGTAGAGATACGATATATTCATGCATGCGCAACAAGATCAGGGAATGGCAAGGAAAAGCATCACGGCATGCTATGCAATGAGAAGCATGAAGGGAGAAATTCAACCACACACAAGTTATCAGTATAGGAGCCAGACTGTCCAAGCACCAGACTTCCCAGAGTATAAAAGCCACACATCACTAGTTCAACCAAAACAATTAGGGGGTGCGGCTTATTCTGCGATGGTCAAATTAATTAACGGCGATAGATAGGGTAGTAAAAGTGGGGAGGCTTCCTGCAGTTTCATAAACAGTTTCATAAACAGTTGAGAGTAGAGTTGAGAGTAGAGCCCACACGCTCTCTTCCATTAACACTGCAATAGTTCAACTCATTTCACAACAATTATTCCGTTTCGGCAAATTGCCTTCATCAGGTTCACAATGATGTGCAAGCTTCCAAACTATAGGGTAGGTAGCTGCAATTCGTGTCAAAAAATCTGGGTGTGGAAATTCGGTCGTGATATCAGCACATGGTCAGGTACAGTATTTTCCAGAGTAAAATCCGCATTTGCGTATAAAGCGATTAAAGGCCGATTGACAAAACAACTTCTTGCAACGCGACATGCGGCTTGTGACACCTGCGACGAGCTGCGACAGCGACACACGGTTCACAATCTTTTTTTCATGTTTGCGACATCCTTATGCACTAGTAGTACTATGAACGTGCACTGCATGTGCACCCAGGGTAGAAACTGTACTCCATTTGTGTATGTAGAACGTCACATGTCGCAAAAGTTGAACTTTCTTCAACTTCTGCGACAGGTGCCTTGCGACTGTACGCGACAGCTCGCGACAGGCAGTCTCTAGTCGCAACTGTCGCAAATCGCGTCGCAGAAAGTGGTGTTGTGAATCGGCCTTAATTAAGCTGCCCTCGAGTATAAGCCACACGCGGATTTTGTTGGTCCTGAAATATAGACATATACCCCGTTTACCAGCTTTTTTTTACCATAGTCCTACATGTACAATCCACACAGACTTAGACAGTTTTATCCTGTAGTCTTACCCTTTTCACAGTATTCGCCATAGAAGACAGAGCGGTTGCACTTGCAACTCAGGTCCTGGGCAAGAACGCCGTTAGCACAGTGCTCTGCGCAGAAAAGACAACACAAAGGCTCCATTGCATCACTCGTTCACAGTTCGCTACACTCGCGGCATCACAACACACTGAATTGAGTGGAAAGTACGGTGAAATTTTTTTATCAGGGCATGTCGGACTGTGGGTGTTGATTTGAATGGTCCATATCAGTGGAGGCTGCAGGTCCATCGCTAATCAGATATTCCTGATCCAACGTCAGCACCCAGTCAGCTCAGCAAGCGTTCGGCAAATACACACAATACATGTATGTTGCCACTTCTTCCACCACCGAATGTAAAGCAGTTTGTACAGTGGTCCATGCTTCATGTGCGTGACGAGTTATCTTGTCATTGTCGATTTAAGTTAACTCATTTTCTGCTAAGCCAGCGCTGTAGCCTAGTGTAGGTCATACTCTTGGTAAGGCTCTGAGCCCGTAGTATCACATTATTCTACGTCTGCAGGGTGAATAGCACAGGATTCTTTTCTCCCAGAAACAAAAACACAACCCAAATCTCCGTTCATGAAGTAGTGCCAACGTTTGAATATATTGCTGTTACAGTCAGACCTCGCTTATCCGGTCCTCTTTTATCCGGATCCCTCGTCATCCGGAAGAAAATCGTTGGTTACCGATTTACAGCATATCTAGTGCATACGGGCAGCAGTAGGTGTGTTCGATTATCCGGGTCTCTCGCCTATCCGGATATTATTTGTGGAAACCGGGTGTGTGCGGTTAAGCTAGTAAACGACATGTTGGCACAGTTCACGTTGGCACAGATATGTTCGCACAAGACATGTTGGCACAGGACATGTTGGGACAGGACATGTTTGGACAGGACATGTTGGGACAGGACATGTTGGGACAGAACATGCTGGGATAGGACATATGGGGACCGGACATGTTGACCCAAGATTTGTTTGTAAAGGACGTTTGGGCACAGCAGACATTGGCATCGCGGATGTTGGCATATCATATACTGGCACAAGTACTGTTGTTCCAATCTGCGTTGCCACAATGCATATTGGTATAAGTCATGATGGCACAGATATGTTTGGACGAAACCTGTTCACACTCAAGGCATTTTCATAACGACAGATTGCATGCCTTCTCACCGGCCGGTAGTACCCAAGAAATCGCTCTGCAAAAGTGCTTTTGGTTGAGAATCTTCTTGAAACATTTGTTGGGATGAGGTCTTTCACATATAAGGCAAAGTAATGGCGCAAATGAAGCAATGTTTTATTCCTCTGTGTCCGCAACCAACATAATATGCTATTTCGTTATGTTGGTTGCGGACACAGAGGAATAAAATATTGCTTCCACAGGGGCAGCCATTGTTAAAACCACTCTAAATTATCATTATCACTTACTGACACAGAGGATTTTGGCGTGGCGATTGATTGTGGAATTTTGAAGCTGATTACTGTGATTTCTGAACGTTACAGTTCTGTAATGGGAGTTGCCATTCACTCGGATTCGTTTGACGTGGTAAGATGCATGCCGAAGAGCCAATCTATCTAGCAAGCGCTTTCTTAATACATGGCCATGTGCGTGCAGCCAGTCCTTGGTTATGAGGTGAAGTCCGTACTCCTGACATGCCTCCTCTGCGAATTGCTCAGTCACGCTGGGTTTCAGTGATGGCGTGGCTGCGGCGTATACAGAGTCGTTGTAACGGAGCCACTTGGCTGCAGGACAAGGGCACATACAGTAGTGGGCAGAGAATAGGCACAATAGTAATGAAATATACTCGAATAACGGGTGCCCTGGACTCTATAGTCATACTCAATGAAACATTGTCTGATGGCAGTGTCAGTGCAATGAACAAAAAATAAGGTAATCGATAACCGCTTTTCAGTGATCGTTTCAGCCCTACCCTGAGTACTTGCCGGGCTGTGGCTGGGCAGACCTCAGTGACCAGCGGTACGCCACTGTTGCGATTTAGTGCAGATTTAGTGCCCTCAATTTGCGCGACCATTGACGCCGTGGAAGTGGGAGGAATGCGGCCACATACGCATGTACAAATTCAATGATGAAAGCGGAACTGGTCCAGGGCAGCCAGCTTTGCATTTTGGGTCTATTTTCACCGAGCGCAACTACACTTAAAGCGGTGCCGGAGAAAGAAGTTTTAACCAAGCTATGAATAAACCGTATGACGCCGACATAATAATGTGATGAACAAATGAACTTCGTATCTTTATAGTTGTAGTCTCTTAGGGCGCGTTTGATTGGTCGGATCCGGAACAGGATCGTTTAGAACAGGGCCGTTTGATTGGTCTGCACTGGTCTGCTCTGGTTTCGGAGTGTTCAGAACATGTTCTGACCACTCCAACCCCAGAGGCTGGAGCAGCCAGAGATTGTTGCAAAGCCCAATGGAAACCTGACAGGACTACACAATGAATTTCGTATATTGTTTTGATTCGAATGGATTTTGGCATGTCAGTGATTACGAAAGGGCGTGGTGATGTACATGGAGGTCTACGTGTGATTTTGCACATTACACGGCGGTCCCCACGTCCATGATTGATTTTTTGGCTGTCTTCGAAGCTTCTTCTCCGGTTGTAGTTGCCTTTCAAGTTTGTTTTGCCTTAGTGTGAACTTTAAAATGCTAACCATGTATAGTAGTACCAAGAGTACATAACCCCCCCAGAGTGTGCAACGCCTGATCCAGCTCTGCATGGGGTATTGGTCGAGCGCAATCGGATCTTTGCGTCATAATACCGTACACATCTGAGGGGAACCCGGGGAGTCGCGGGTAGTCTTGGATCAAAAACACTGGTGCCCTGCCTCGAGACCAGCCTTGCGCTGGTGGGGAGTGTACGCATGACATCAGAAGATTCGATTCCGCTCGACCAAGACCCTATGCAGAGTTGCATCAGGCGTTGCACACTCTGGGGGGTTATGTACTCTTGGTATTACTTCCTACCCTATCATTTGCTCTGACGCGTTCATTTGATCACAATGCAACAGCCTACCTTCGCAGATGACATCATGATGGCTTGTTCCATCACTATCATACAATTCTTTAGGCAACTTGTTCTTGCCCTGCTGGTATATGAGATGTTGGTCATCCTTCTTGAACGATGTCCATATTGAAGTAGGGTTTCTGTAACCGCTCGTCACTATCTTGTTGAGCAATGCTCCCATACAGTCGCGCACGCCAAGCGTCTGATTGGTGAAGGCATTATGGTCTACCACGTCGTATCCTCTTCTCTTGCACATCTGGCGGGCATGCGTCAAGTTCGTTTTCTTCTGGCAGCTGTCACCGTCGAGGTGTGGATGACACGGCAAGCTGGCGAGAGCCATCCAGGTGTACGTTGCGTTATCTGTACCCAGGCACTTTGTCTTGAAAACTGAACATAACACAGTACAAATGCAAGACACAGTCAGGTGAAGTAGAAATCACACATCAACAAGATGTACACTTCCTAGGCAGCGGTACCATAGTTCAATTGAAAATATAATATATACCTATGCAAATACCACTCGGCCATTTAGCTCCACTTCCTCCAGCAAACTGACTTTCCAGCGCACTTTCTCTCCGGGTATCGTTTTACCCACAGTTCAGAACGAAACATTCCATTTTGTCTTCTCATTTCACCTTCATAGACTTTCATCATCTTGGCCTTGTTGGAAGGATCAGACCTTAGCATATCCATTCTAATAGCTCTCAGCTAAAAACTGCGTTAGATTTTAGCTACCTGGTAAAGTAGAGTCACTCTACCGATAGAGGTAGAAGGTAGAGGTAAGTGGACAAATGCTATTCTACCGGATTTATTAGTTTACACGATATGTACGTGAAATGTTTCTCTTCTGTATGGAGTTGTGTACAAATCCTTGATCTTGCCGGAAATCCCGTAGCTCTACCAACTTCTACCGGCTTCCACCAACTTTTTCCTGGTAGAGCCGGTAGAGGAAAGTAGAATCCACCCTTTTGAGTAGAAGAAACGAACGCCTTTACCAAAAGAAATAGTTTCTACTCAAACCTGTATATCAAAAACGAACGCCCCGTTAATGTGTACAGGTATTCCCACATTTCACAGAAATATGCCACCAAACTGGAATTCACTTCATACAGCATAATTATACTCACTGTGCTGACACTGGTCTCCATGGAAACCGTTCTGGCAGTTGCAACTGCCATCGTCAGTGCACTGGCCGTCATTCAAGCAATTGCATGCTGCAGCAGTGATTGGGAACATTCACGCATTTTCCAAAAAAGCACAAAGAGAGGGACAGAAAAGCGGATTCTTGACATGTCCTTGAACATCATCAAATGGAGACATCAAATTAACTCTTAACAAAATATGTTGCAAAAGAAGGATCCACGAGCGGGATTCGAACCCAGCACCCCTGTCTTTCCGGGACAGTGCCCCACCGATTAGGCTACCGGGGATCACACACACTCATGGGTCCTTCTTGCTACACTGCTCCCCCGCCCCAACAGGCTGTGTCCTCACGTCGTACCTAGCTCGCGGGGGGTACGATGGGTCGTGGGTTCGAGCCATTGCCAGGCGCCAATGTTGCAAAAGAAGGATCCACGAGCGGGATTCGAACCCAGCACCCCTGTCTTTCCGGGACAGTGCCCTACCGATTAGGCTGCCGGGGATCACACACACTCATGGGTCCTTCTTGCTACAATAGCACAACTCATGAGAGTGACCAAGTCCCCATAAATATGCATTATTTATTCCACATGAATAGAATATATAGGTAGAATAGGTTGGAGGAGCTGGCATGAGGACACGGAAGTTTTTTTCTTCTTCTCGACTCCGAATACACCATTCCAGCATGCATGAACCCGTGGGTCATACATTATTTGACACGCGGGCTTATTGCAGTAGCTTTCTTTAGCCCTTACCTTCTGTGCAGTTGCGTCCATCTAGTCCAGGTTGACATTCACACACTTTGCTCTTTTTCACCCAGGGTTTTGCGCACACAACTGCATCCATCACATAGCACACACCGAAGAGAAAGAACACGAGAGAGTGAATCAGCCGGTAACGGAGTCAGGCAGACTAAAGACAATACTATAATATAAAGTAAAAGAGGCTGGGCCAGGGAAACTTATGGATAAATCTGGGTTTCGATCATAATGGCCTTCTTCCAAAAGATAGAATTGCTGCTGGAAGGTAGGCACTGTTTATATAATAAAGCAGGAATGACAAGCAGCAGTTTACAAATCAGTGCAATCAGTAGATAGCGTCAATTATCATCACTGCTCTCAGCCCTTCGGCACACTCAGACAATTGAAACTTTGCTAAGAAACAAAATGACGACAGAAGCACAGCGTGACATGACAAACTCAAAGACAAAGGGTGGTAATAGGTTTTTCATTTGACAAGACTAGACCAAACCAGAGCACTTGCAGACGACAGCACGAACAGTTCACAGTTCAGGAGTGCCACAAATTGCTATTTTGGAGTGTGGCCGGAGAACTGTTCCGTGCTTTTTTGTTGTTGTTGTGTCATTTAGGAGTGAAACGAATTCTGAATATTCTGGAATTGTTCGTTTGGAGAACAACTCGAAGCATTCGGTTCAGATCTGAATACATTGTGTTTGGTTTTGGACACTTTGCATGTGCAAGTAATACTGCAGTCATTGACTGAGTCAGTGTGAGGTTATAGCTTACAACCAGGGAGTCGTAAAATACCGATATTTTACGACTCCCTGCTTACAACATTAGAGAGGTTCCGCATAACATAATTACGCGAGCAAAAAAGCATAGTCGATGCACGGAAAGTCACACTGCATGCGGACCTGTGTTCCGCCGTACGGAGTTTTCGAATCATGTACCTGCCCTTGGCAGCTTGGAACGCGGCAGTGTATGACCGGGTCGACCTGGGTAGAGAGTCGTAAATTTACACCACTAAGGTAAAGTTGCTCAGCTTTACGTAGTGCCGAACCTCTCTATTAGGATAACCTCAAGTACATGGCAGTAGAATGCGGTGGTTGGCTAGCTGGGAAAGGGGACTATGGCTCACAAGGCTGAACCAGAAAGACCTGTCTACATATGCTACAGTCACGTGAGAACAGGCAAATTATAGAATATTTGGTATCCAATTCGAAGAAGAGGTTAGTGCTACTTCGGAGATACATATTCAATTCGTCTAGAGAATATTCGGTACAATGTAGAATATTCGTCTCACCCCTAGACTCCTATTTCAAGCGAGCACCCAAAAAGACCAGTATACATGTCCTAGTTCTCCGTCACCCCTGTTAAACCTATCGCGGAGCCTGCTCGTGCATGTAAAAGTAAAGGGGACCCCACTTTTACATGGATGTACGCTCTGAAAATCCCACGCCGACTATATGAAATGAGTAAAACGAATTCACTTCTACTTACCGAGTTGACAATGGCGGCCGGTGAATCCTCTAGGGCAGCTGCATTCACCTTTGTCATCACACTCACCCCGGTTCAAGCACTTGCATGCTGCAACAGCCAGCGAAAAAGGCACGTACATGGATTGGGTGACACAGAAATAATGCACGGGAGGTCACTGTGCAGTAATTGCTGGCCCTCGGAGGCAATCACGCACAAACTCAAGTCAAAGCACTCACTTTGTAGTTTCACATAAAGAATCGTCAGGGAAGAAATATACACACTTGGAACGCAAAGAGTGTAAAGAAGCAACAAGAAAGAAGAGAGGAAGGGAACAAAAGTTCGGCAACCGGCAGCCATGGTCTCTAGGTCATTAACCAATAAGCAATCTACGAAAACCGGTTGCCGACAAAATTCTAGAACCTTCTGGCCTTGTGACGTCTTCAGGTGGCGAAATGCACTGAATGACCTCTCCAATGTGGCGTTTGTGGCCGGAAGCATAGACAGTCATGTGGCAAGGAACTGAATCTGCACCCTTATCATAATCCAGGAAAGCCCAGATGGTGAACCGTTGGGGCTTACAAGCGCACATTACAGGCTTCGTTTCCCCACACAAATGTTTGGGAAGCGAAAACATTGCTGGCTATGGGGATATAAGAAAGCTCAGGAACAGACGCCTTCAAGTTTTTCGCAGCCATCTCTGACACTCGATCAACATGAAGCAAAAAAAACCCTGTGCCGCCAGTCTGTCCCTGAGAGCCCTACATATAAGGCACAGTACATGCAGGTCTCCCTAGTCAGTGCTGTGTACATAATGCACATAGTACTGAACTCCTATCAGCTCTATAGAAAGAGAAAAGGAAACCTTGGCCCGAAAAGTGGTCCGGTGAAAGCAGGACCAACCGGACAGGTGGCTTTGCCCACTGTAATAGCTTACACACACACACACACATACACGCACATACACACACAAACACGCACATACACGCACATACAGATACGCATATGCGCCCATACAGACACATACACACACATCCACAGTATACACACATATACACACATACACACACACACACACACACACACACACATGCACACACACATGCACACACACACACACATGCACACAAACCTAATGGCTTGCTGTCTTACCCTTTTCACATTCTTCACCGTAGGACATAGTGCGGTTACATACACAACGCATGTCCGGTGTAAGAACACCGCTCCCACAGGACCCTGTGCAGAAAAAGACAATAAAAGTCGATATTGGATTACTCTTATGCAGTCTCTATTAGCAAGAGTACATAACCCCTCAGAGTGTGCAACTCGACTATGGGTGCTGTCCCGACAGAATTTCATTTTGATGATGCAATGCGCACTGTACACGGATTATCAGACGAATCCGGAACCTGTGGTTGACCGAAGCCGATCTGATCCTGTACAAATTATTGAAAAGAAAAAACGTGTAATGCGTTGACACCCGTACACATGTTGTAAATCACTGGCGCAAGGAGCATTGTGTCATAAATAATGACTCCAAACTTGAAATTCTGTCGGGACAGCAGGGTATGTGGGAGTTGCACACGCTGGGGGGTTATGTTCTCTTGATATTAGTATAACACTAGAATGGGGATAAAAGCTTATCTTAAAAAAACCTGTCACACAGAATTAAAGGAACAAGATGAGTTGTTCTTTGGCTTTTACTCCCACGGTGCCATAGAACAGGATGTATGACAGCAAGGCCTTTTTTCTTCTTCAAAATCGTCGCTCTTGGGTAAAGTCAAGGAGCTGGAGTTTTTTCTACAAAATCCACATATCTCCAGACACTGGGGTGAATGATGGAGTGTGGTGGTGGGGCCCATTAAGCTCCGCCGACCAGGGGTGAGTGTAGCGCGTTCCATAGCTGCAGTTTAATTATTAAAGTATTGCACCAAAATATTACCCCAATGCAAACACCTGAATGTGACATATGCTCTGATGGGTGCCGATTACCTCTACCACCCCAACACTTCCAACAAGATCCGTATTACTGTGCATTGCATACTGCGGACGCTAAAATGATCGGAACTCGGCTTTCCGTGAAAGGAATTGAGCAATCGAAAGGTCTATTTGCATGGGAACGTTCGCAGCTCCGTCGGCAAATAGTAGGGTAACGGCCCTCACCGGGGATTTTACGTCAGGTAGAAACTTTCACCTCCTCACGTGGTGACAGTCATGGGATTTCCCCCTGTTTCTTGACAACAACAAAAAGTTGTCGGTACATTCTCTCAAACCTGACGGCACGTCCAACTTCAGCTTGGCATGCATTTTTGAGTCCGCGCAATTGGAGTCCAGGGAGTAAAATCTCCCCGTCTCTGCCACAAACTGATATTGCGCCAAATGAATAATGCAGCTGGCGCCAAACAACACCTTATTAGAATCAAAAAATGCTGGAATTACTTCGGAGTTACCCTGGGAAGACACCGAAGAAACACAGCCTGAATCTCAGTTCTGGGAGTGTTCTCAATGTTGTGATTCACCGTGGGTGCAAGAAATGCTGGGAGATTACATGCTAGCACATTGCAAGTGGGCACATTGTTGGGACAAGCCCTGTTCATACAGTGCATGTAGCAACGGGACATATTTACACAAACGCACAACTATATTCATCACGTTAGCAGCACAAACAGGGACAAAACACAGCTTGTGCATGGACAGCCATTGCAGAAGACAGTCACTTATTATCCTCTCACTTACTGATACAGAGAATCTTGGCATTCTCCTGGCTTGTTTCATTCTTAAACGTCACATGTTGTCTGCTAAATTTTACTGTTCTGTAAAGGGACTGACCATTGACCAGGATTGGCGCGACGTGGTAACCTAATCCGTCGGCCTTATTTAAAGCCAATCTCTCTAGCCAGCGTTCTCTTAGCACATGGCCATGTTCTTGTAGCCAGTCCTTGGTTATGAGGCGAAGTCCGTACTGCTGACATGCGTTCTCTGCATACTGCCAACTGATACAGTGATACTGCGGTATGGTTGCGGCAGCGTATTGTGAATCGTTGATGTGACGCCATTTGCCTGCAAAACAAGGGCATATACAGTTGCGGGTAGAAACAAAAATAGGCGGAAGAGAACCAAGACAAGCGGCATCATTATTGCTTCAACGCTGCGTTTCGTGCAAATAGCAAGGCTAAAGCAGTCCTCAGACGACTGAAATTCTTGCTATCGTGAATTTAATATCGTGCTTGATGACACCCGATCTCTTGGATACAGATGTGCCCACAACTAGTGAGTAGTTCAATGTTCACAGGCCTGCGGCTCGCCAGACTTCATAGAGCAGCACCGTGTCACATTTGCAAATCATTCAGCAGTTCTACCAAGGGAGTAGCATAACATCAGGTTATGACACAAGCATACACATGAAATGTTTCTTCGCAGATAAAACTAATTGGTTACGCATGTGTGGGTCTGACACTGGCAATAACGGTCAGGTTGCTGCACTCTTGTTGTCTCTTTGTTTCACACTTTCCTGTCTCGTCATTATCACTGGACATATCCTGTCCATGCACTGTGTGCTACTCAGCATTCTCGCTTGTTTACCTTCGCAGATGACATTGTGATGGCCGGACCCATGAACACTAAATATTGTATCACTCGATTTGTTCTTGTACTGCTTGTAAATAATACGCCGACGATAGTACTCGGATGATGTCCATATCGTAATCGCGCTGCTGTTAGTGCTCGCCATCATCTCGTGGAGCAATGACTTTACGCGGTAACGCACACCAAGCTTTGAACCGAGCCAGGTGAAGGTTTTAAAGTCGACCAGCTGGTATCCCCTATCACCGCACGCGTCTCTGGCTTCCATCCAACTGGTTATCTTCGGGCAGCTGCCTGAATAACACGGCAAGCCATTGAGAGCCGTCCAGGTGTACATCACCTTGTCCGTACCCAGGGACTTTGTCCTGAAAGCTGAACACAGCACAGTACACAGACATGTACAACATACTCAGGTACAGGAGAAAAATATTACGGTGGCCAAAAAACCCTTTCTGTCCGACTTGTGTTCAAATTTTCAAGGTTGAAGCACCATAAGGACAAGCTGTTAATCCCGTAGTTTTGCTAGTGGGTAACGAATCCTTCCCTATATTTGGGGCCTGTGAAAGTCACACCCACACATTCTCATTTATGTCCTGAAATATGAGAAATAGCTATAAAGAGAACAAATTCTGCTGTCATCGCCACACTACAACAAAGTCATGAAGGTTTACCAAAATCGATTTTCTTGTCACAATCATCAGTGGAAAGCCGTGACTGAAGAATAACCATGCCAAATCAATACTTTATATACATTTAATAAATGTGTTACGAGAACGAATGTGAATAGAACGGCCTAGCCCTGAAATTGGCTTCCACAGAAATACGCTCGGTGGTAATACACGACAATATGGTGAGTACATTTCAATTCTCTTTCTGGAATTCCGGACCACTATGATCATATGCTGTGGAGACAAATGCACTGGAATCAATTAATCCCATTTTTCTGTAAACAGTGGGTAAGTGGGTAAATGAGTCCAATAACGTCACATCATTTTAGCATAACTCTATGATACTAACTGTGTGGAATATGAAGTGCCTACAATGGAGTCTGCACGCCCTTAGGAAGGAACCTTTTGCTACAAGCATCTACAGAGAGGTGCCAAAGCCATTCTTCTTTAAAAAAAAAGAAAAAGAAAACGGCTTTGACTGTGAGTTTGCTGAAAAGCAATATTTGTAGTCCAGCACTACTGCTCTGCTCGGGTAGAGCAATTGTACATGAGCCAGCGTGCATTTGTGTTTGTGTGTGTGTGTGTGTGTGTGTGTGTGTGTGTGTGTGTGTGTGTGTGTGTGTATGTGTATGTGTATGTGTGTGTGTGTGTGTGTGTGTGTATGTGTATGTGTATGTGTATGTGTATGTGTATGTGTATGTGTATGTGTATGTGTATGTGTATGTGTATGTGTATGTGTATGTGTGTGTGTGTGTGTGTGTGTGTGTGTGTGTGTGTATGTGTATGTGTGTGTGTGTGTGTGTATGTGTATGTGTATGTGTATGTGTATGTGTGTATGTGTGTATGTGTATGTGTATGTGTGTGTGTGTGTGTGTGTGTGTGTGTGTGTATGTGTATGTGTATGTGTATGTGTAGGTGTGTGTGTATGTGTGTGTGTATGTGTGTTTTTAAGTGAATGTGTGCGGGTGTGGTGTTACATACTCACTTCACATTGCAGATACCCTCATTGATTTGTTTCCGTCTTCTCTTTGGGCTTTGTTCATGATTGCATTTTCCTCTCCTCCTTTTCTTATCATTATCACTATCTTCATCATTTTGCGAGAACTGTGGCAACACGCCCAGTGAGAAGGCAGATTTTGCCTGTGCTTCTGGTGAAGAAAAATATAGCTAAACAAAACACTTACTGTCCTGACATTGGTCTCCGCGGAATCCGGTCGGACAGAGGCAGGTGCCGTCTTCAGTACACTGACCATTATTCAAGCAATTGCATGCTGCAGCAGTGATGTATGCACATATTTTCCAAAAACAAACGAATAGTGACAGAACGACATAGCATATCGGATTCTCGAGACATTGTCACATGTATCTTGATCATCATGACATTGTACCGACCAGTACATAGCTACATGAACAACCAGATTACAACACTCCCACGTATATTTATTTATTTATTTATTCATTACAGCATCTCATAGCACAGTGAGAACACCGGCCAATACAAAGAGAGAGGGTGTTAGCCAACCACGGCAAGGAAGGGAGAAGGGGAGGAGAAGAAAAAAAAACTAACTGATGCCCATATGTATCATATGGTTGGTTAACACCCACATCTCCCGTACTGGCTGATTTTCTTTTCATGCCATGAGGTGTTGTCTATAATAATAATAATAATAATATTAATATTGCACGTGGATAGAACAAAATTCCAGCCACTTTTAAGGTCACAGTACGTTGGGCAATCCGGCATACAAACTCGGAAGTGTTTCTTTGGCTTCAAATACAATAATTACAACGGCATGTATGTTCCCATGGGTCATACATTCTTTGACACGCAGGCACATAATATATTACAGCAGCTTTCTTCAGCCCTTACCTTCCGTGCAGTTAGTCTCGCCTAGTCTGGCCTTACATTCGCATACTTTGTTCTTTTTCACCCAGGGATGTGTGCACACAACTGCATCGCATATCACAAGGAAGAGGGAGAAGAGCCAGAGATTAGCCAGACACAAGATGGACAGACAAGCAGACAGAGGGAAAAATAACTTATTATTTATTTTACTAGTATAAGAGGAAAAACATGCACAGTTTGCGTGCGACTAGAGGCCGAGTTTTCCACATCTATAGGAATACCCCACCCCTCGAGGGTCAAGGCGCCCATGCAGCTTCAAGAGGAAAGAGACTGGACAATTGCCCAGGGAAATGTAACTCATTGCGGACGAATGAGCGTTTTGACCACACAAAAATAGCAGGATTGGTGATGCACATGTGTTCTGTGTTCTTATTCCTAGCAAGAACTTGATGAAACGGTATACTTGTTCTGTCGACTTTCACTCAAAATCGAAACTAGAACAAGGCCTGCACAATCAGGGCCAACCGGAACAACTCCAAAGCCTACACACAGTCAGGGGAGGCCATGTTCACACGAAAGGTATGCTTTGAGAATTGCATACAATGTAAAGCAAATACTTGAAGTAAACAAATAGATGATACGCCAAATAACATGCAACTAGACTTCAGAGGGCATTGCAGAGTAGTTGCATACAAAGTTCAAAGTTAGACGGTTACCTGTGACTTGCATTCCTGCAGAGCTCAGGGCCTACCATGTACACATTGTAGTATAATTTGTATGCAACTTGTGTGCGATACCCTCTCAAGTCTAGTTGCGCGTTATTTGGCATATCATCTATTCAAAAAAGCGTTTCGGAGACAGCAACTTTAATATGGCAAGCAAGAGTACTAACCATGCATTATTACAATAGTGACAAACAGTGACAAACATGCGAGAGAAATGTGAATGTGAAATGTACATGTCAAAAGAAGAAGAAGAAGTGTTCAGATCGGTAAGCAAATTCACTTCTACCAAGAGTCCATCAACCCAAGGGTGTGCAACTGGGGTCTGGCTGCTGTAGGCCCACTGCGCGGCGGAATTCCAACATAACGTCATGCCGCTGAGGCACAGAGGACAAAACTCTGCATTCCGCGGTGCTTGGATTTTTTGTTTGGCACCAGGGAGTAGTACAAGCGCAACGAACGTGTACAAAATTTTTGACGTAATGTTGGAATTCTGCCGCGCGGACCCCATGTACAGAGTTGCAAACTCTTGGGGTTATGGACGCCTGCTTCTACTTACCCTTCTGGCAATTGTCTCCGGTGAATCCCTTCGGGCAGATGCATTTGCCTTTGTCGTCACACTGACCCTGGTTCAAACACTTGCACACTGCAGGAGCCACCGCATACACGCAACATGGTGTGAAGCAGAGAAAATACACGGTTTGGTTACGCAATGAGCAGTGGAGATAGAGAAATTAGACTACACCAAGTTATCAGGCAATTTCCGCTTGCAAGAAAACTGGGGCGTGAACACTGTTGAAGCACTGAAGCCAGCACTCGAAAATAGTACTAGGACAAAAACACATGTAACCGTTAGTGGATCTACTCGTAACAGCCATTCATAAACAAATATGATACAATTCGCCTGTGGGGATTGCCCATTTCAAAATTTAAATAATAATAATAATAATAATAATAATAGGTCAGACTCGGATGGAAAGGCAAGGATTAAAAAATTAAAAGAGAGGACCCAAGGTTTACAAGTTATGCGTTTTTGTGTCAAATACTAACGATATAAGCAGGATACAGTCACGTTCATAATAGTTCCTAACTAAAGCTGTGTTCACAACTGGCGCGTGTACGCGTGAAACCACGCGTTTGTGCGTATTTTTGCTGGCTTTTGGGGCGCCATGCGTACGGAAACGCGCCGAAATGGAAATTCCAACATGTTGGAATTTTCAGCGCGTATCAGGCGCATACCAGCGTACATGCCAGTCACTTTGACTGACGGGGTCAAAAAATTAGTACTCGAAGGTGTCGCACGCGCTAAATACGACTCGGATTGCTGTTTTTTGTGAAAGGCTGAGCGCGTTTGGGCACGCTTGAACCGCAAGCGTACCGCGTCCACGCGCCAGTTGTGAACACAGCTTAACGCATTCCAATACGAAGCATTAGGTCGTTGAATGCCAGTATCACATCAGTCAGTGTTCTGCTAATCGCTGCATGTTCTGACTCACCCGTATCATGCTGATATTGGACACAACACGCATAACTTGTAAACCAGTCGTTTAATTTTAAATATAGTAAGGTGGAATCCTGATAATTCGAACCCCAAAAAGCCAAGGAAGAACTTCCAATCGTCGGGGTATTCAAATTATCCAAACATGTACCCACAACACTATGTGCTATACTAAATGACATTCTGTAGATTCCCTGAGCCCCCCCCCCGCCCACACCTGTTGAATTAGATATCACAGGACTTGTTAGCACAAGCCGCATTGACACAAGTCGTCTCAAGGCATGTTCTTAGGCAAATGCTATAATTTTATCGCGTTGCTTTTAAAAGTTCAAGACATCCCACTTACTGACACAGAGGATTTGGGCTCGGTGATTGCTTGTGGTGTTCACAAACCTCTGTTTTCCCTCGCTAAACGTTACGGTTCTGTAAAGGGAGTTGCCGTTCACCACGATTGGTTTGACGTGATAAGGTGCTTGCCGAATAGCCAATCTCTCTAGGAATCTCTCTCTTATTAATACATGGCCATGTGCTTGCAGCCAGGCCCCGGTTACGAGGTGAAGTCCGTACTGCTCACATGCCTCCTCTGCGAATTGCTCTGTGACGTAGGGCCTCAGCGCTGGCGTTGCTGTGGTGTATACTGAAGAGTTGACGTGAAGCCACTTGGCTACAAAACAAGGGCACATACAGTAGCCAATAGGGAATATGTATAACAAACGCAACGACAATAGCGAGCATTCCCAGATGGCCTAGAGTACTCAACACCACCAGGATGGAGCAATCCAGCAAAGGACTGCCTTAGCTCCACTTTGTGCATGAATCGAAGCATTACAACAATGAGTTGACCGATTCTCTCTGGTCTCTTCTGCCTTTTTGACAAAAGTTATGAAATAAACCTAAATAACAGGTGCTCACAATCTAGTCATGCTCAATAAAACCCGGTCTAATGGAAAGGTCAATGCTACCATTTCACCCCTATTCTGAGACAGGTTCAGGTGTCGGCCAATATTTGCAGGCATGGGGCTGGGTGGACTTCATTGAGCAGCACCGTGCCATAGTTGGGAATCACCCAGTGGTTATACCAAGAGTACATAACCCCCCAGAGTGTGCAACTTCCACATACCCTGCTCTCCCGACAGACTTTCAAGTTGACGTCATTAATTATGGGGCTGGGGAGACTTCATTGAGCAGCACCATGCCATAGTTGCGGATTACTCGGTGGTCAAACGAAGGGAGTAGTATGACGCCGGGTTACATAAGCATATGACAGAAGTGTTTCGATTGGTTCCGTCAAGAGTACATAACCCCCCAGAGTGTGCAACACCTGATCCAGCTGCGCATAGGGTCTTGGTCGAGCGGAATCGGATCTTTGCGTCATAATACCGTACACATCTGAGGGGAACCCGGGAAGTCGCGGGTACTCTCGGATCAAAAACAATGGTGCCCTGCCTCGAGACTGGCCTTGCGCTGGCGTGGAGTGTACGAATGACATCAGAAGATCCGATTCCGCTCGACCAAGACCCGATGCAGAGCTGGATCGGCGTTGCACACTCTGGGGGGTTATGTACTCTTGGTTCCGTGTGTGTGGGTCTGAACCTGGCTATAACGATCAGTTTCCAATTGAACTCAGAAACCTCGGTTGTAATAACTCTTGCCGTGCCTACCCTATCCATTCGTCCCTGGCTACTCAACATTTCTCTCACTCGTTCATATGATCACAATGCAAAAGCCTACCTTCGCAGATGACATCATGATGGCTTGCTCCATTACTATCATATAACTCTTCTCTTAACTCGTTCTTGCCCTGCTGGTATATGATATTTTGGTCATCCTCCTCGAGCGATGCCGATATTGAGATAGGGTTGCTGTCACCGCTCGCCATCATCTCGAGATGGCTTGCTCCACTACTATCATGTAACTCCTTTCTTAACTTGTTCTTAACTAGTTCTTGCCCTGACGATAGGAAGATAGGGTTGCTGTCACCGCTCGCCATCATCTCGCCATCAAGATGGCTTGCTCCACTACTATCATGTAACTTGTTCTTAACTAGTTCTTGCCCTGACGATAGGATGATAGGGTTGCTGTCACCGCTCGCCATCATCTCGCCATCAAGATGGCTTGCTCCACTACTATCATGTAGCTTGTTCTTAACTAGTTCTTGCCCTGACGATAGGGAGATAGGGTTGCTGTGACCGCTCGCCATCATCTCGCTTGATCCACTACTATCATGTAACTCTTCTCTTAAGTTGTTCTTGCCCTCCTTGTACATGACATGCTTGCTATCCCTCAAGAAAGATGTCCATATTGTGATAGGGCTGTTGAAATTGCTTGCCATCATCTTGTTGAGCAATTCTTCCATGCAGTCTCGCACGCCAAGCGTCTGACTGGTGAAGGCATTATAGTCTACCACGTCGTATCCTCTTCTCTTGCACATCTGGCGGGCATGCGTCAAGTTCGTTTTCTTCTGGCAGCTGTCACCGTCGAGGTGTGGATGACACGGCAAGCCGGCGAGAGCCATCCAGGTGTACATTGCCTTATCTGTACCCAGGCACTTTGTCTTGAAAGCTGAACATAACACAGTACACATGCAAGACACGGTCAGGTGAAATAGCACGCAACTGGACCACAGCCTAACAAGACGTACACTTGCTCAGTAGGGATACCGCAGTCCTTTTCAGAATTTTTTTACTACAATGATCAGAAATATCATCGGACCATCACAGCTATACAGTAAAACCTGGTGTAAGCGACCTCTGGGTTTAGCGACCACCTGCTCTTAACATGGACCATTTTTCCATGCACTGATAGTTCTACACAGACACTGTGGGACCTGGTTCTAAAGACCACCTAGCTTTAATGACCGCTTTTGCTTGCACCGTGGAGTGGTCGTTTAAACCAGGTTTTACTGTAGTTCTGGTGATGGCAGTCAATTTTTTTCCTGCAGACTTTTCCGCTTGCAGGTCCATGGAGTTAGCTATCCTGTTGTATAGTGCCGGTGGGCCTTGTGAACTCGGACACTGGCGTGTACGTCGTGCGGATGGAGAATGCCACAAATGTAGAGACCCACCAAGCGCAGCTCACAGCCAAAATAATCATAATGAACAGCAGCCGAGCTTTCAACTACTGCAAATCGCCCAATATTCGGGCCACTAAATTTTCGCGATTTCTTAGAACCAACAAATTTGCGATGGCAAAAGGTCGCGAAGCACAGGGGCCACCTACATACACCCACTGTTGAAGCTCGATTTCACGCTGGTTAATATTCGCATTACGCTCTTCTCGCGAAAATAGCGAACATTAATCCGTCGCAAACATTAGGCATTTTACAATATTCCAGAACACATCAACAAAACAGGGATTTACTTCATACGGCACATACTTACTGTGCTGACACTGATCTCCATGGAAACCTTTCCGGCAGATGCAGGTGCCATTTTCAGTGCACTGGCCGTCATTCAAGCATTTGCATGCTGCAGCAGTGATTGGGAATATTCACGCATTTTCCAAAGCACACGAAAAGAAACAGAATAACGGACTGTCGAGAAATTGTTCACATGCCCTTGCCCATCATCATGGACGCCTCAAACCAGCTCTTTTAACCACTCACAAGGGTGTCCAACTCCCCATATCAATATTTTGCCGAAGGGGTAGGGGCGCAGCATTGACTTCCGTGTACGCTGCTTTACACTTCAAGTGCAGAGATGTATTAATTTGTAGCTTAGACCAGTTTTTTTTACAATGCAACACAATATTGTAGCTTCTTCGCCCCTTTTGGTGTAATCTAGTTGCAGTGTTCAGATTAGCCAGAATTCTTGTAGCCGCCATATGCTCTCCCAATCAGTTTAAAATTATCACATTCCGGCTACAAACTGAGCATATGTTGCAGAATAGGTCGGAGAAGCCCGCATGAGGACTCGGAAGTTGTTTTCTTCTCTTCAAAATACAACATTCAAGCATGCGTGAGAGCATAGGTCATACATTCTCTGACATGCCTATGTAGCCCAGCATAGGTATAGTATTTTAATCAAGGTCTGTCGCCTACCTGCCCTCGCAATGGATATACTTCCTTCCTCGTCTTTACTATGAAGCACCCAAACCACGGCTGCCACTAGCCACTGTTTCTCCCGGTTTATTGCACCCACTCTGATTGATAACACATAGTACTGTCTCTCTCTTATTGGCTACGGCCACCGTGAGAATAAAGATAATAATAATGCCTACATACATTACAGCAGCTTTCTTCAGCACTTACCTTCTGTGCAGTTAGGTCCATCTAGTCTGGCCGTACATTCGCATACTTTGTTCTTTTTCACCCACGGGTGCGTACACACAACTGCATCACACATCGCAAGGAAGGGGAAGAAGAGGAAGAGAGTAAATCAGCCAGACACGAAGTCAGACAGACTAAGGTTACGTTTGGTTGGTCACATTCCCAAATGGGAATCACTTGGAATCACTCGGAATCATTCTCGCCCGTTTGGCTGGTCAAAAAAGTGCGTTAGGTTGGTCACATTCCACATGATTCCAGAATGGGAATCGCTGAGAATGATTCTTTTTGGAGAATGATCATTCCACCTCACATGCTGGAATGATCATTCTCATTCCGGAATCAAAAATGATAATGGCTGCGACGAGCCAAACAATGTAGCACCAAATCATGCACTCAGAAGTACCTTGACTCTCTCAAGGAAACTAGAGTCGGGTAAAAGAAAAGACAGCCGCCGTTCCACAACGACATCATGGAATTGCTATGTCAAGTGATTCCTAATTGATTCTGGCGCGTTAGTTTGGTCAGGTGATTCTTGCCGATTCCCATTCCAGAATGGTTCTCATTTACATTCTGAAAATGCCCAACCAAACGCAACCTAAGGTTGCATTTGGTTGGGCAATTCCGGAATGATATTGACCACCAAACAATAGGAGGACAGAGGAAGTGTTTTACTCAGAGTTTCACGCACTAAGCGATCATCAGAAAACAGCTGTTTTCTGATGATCGCTTAGTGTGTGAAACTCTGAGTAAAAACACTTCCTCTGTCCTCCTATTGCTTGAACCAGCTCTACCACTCGGTATTGAGCACTCTCTTGGACAGCCTGGAACCTCTCTGTTTTTGATATTGACCACCCGTGATTCTGGAATGTTAATGATAGCTTGCATGCCGTCCTACCGGTAAGACCACGCGTCCTACCGGTAGAACCCAAGAAATCGCGCTGCAAAAGTGCTGTTCCTTGAGAATCTTGTTGAAACAATTGTTGAGATGAGGTCCTTGTAGGACAAAGTAATGGCACAAATGCAAGACTATATCCAGGGCATTGCATATGTGCAATTTTATCAATTGTCAAAATGGGCGCCATGTTCCTGTCGGAGCGCTTGCAACTCCGTCCAAAGTGAATTTCGACCATGGCATATCGATTGCCATGGCAGTGGAATGCAAAATTCCACACCTTGTTTACATGGTTACCATGGACTGTTGCCATAGAATTTCTTATATGCCTTGTACGATCACGTCCAAAATGCGTGGACTCCTTCATTAGTGAGTCAAAGTACTTCTCAGTGCATGATTAGAAAATCCCAAGGGAACTGAAAAAGAATACTTGAAGAAAACTAAATCTCTTCTACTTACTGAGTTGGCACTTGTCTCCGGTGAATCCTTTCGGGCAGCTGCATTCACCTTTGTTGTCACACTGACCCTGATTCAAGCACGTGCATGCTGCAACGCCCATCAATAAACGCATGCACGGAGTGGCATAGATAAATGCACGGGATGTTACTCTATGCTTAGTGGAAATCGAGACATTTATCATTTACTCGGAACTAGGTCTCCGGACCTGGTGAGAAGGCAGAAATGCCTGTTCACTTGGTGAACTTGGTGAACAACCATCGTGAGAATAGAGAATTCAAACAACAACGACGACGACGCCGACGCCGACGACGACGACGACGACGACGACGACAACAACAACAACAACAACAACAACAACCACAACAACAACAACAACAACAACACTCGTGAGAATAAAAGATTTCAAACATTTGACTGAGGTGGGCATGATCGACAGGGCGAATCCCGAGCAAGTGCGTTCCGAGCAAGTGCGTGATCAATTGGCCTGATCTGGCCGAATCCGGGAGTCGCTGGAGTGGAAATGGACGTTGGCGTTTTTGGCAGCCTTCACAGAATTTTTGTACGACATGCGTGCATTTTGCGTACTACACCGTTGCTTTGTTCGATTGGGCCAGTGTTGCTCAGACTGTACTGCCTGCTCGCACTCAATCAATGACACCTTTGGGCACGAGTTAACACAATATAAGAACCAATTAGCCGTAGGTAATGTCAGCCATCTCCAGCAAATGCTTCATCCAAGGTACAAGGCTTTCCATGACTTTCACATGCGCATTCTCAGATAAAAACAAAACAAAAACCCGAATGGCTCGGTGTCTTACCCTTTTCACAATATTGACCATAGGTTGAGGTGCGGTTGCATACACAACTCAGGTTTGGTCCAAGAAAACCGGTCTCACAGGTCTCTGTGCAGAACAGGACAACAAAAAGTCAATTGCATTACTCTCTAAAGGCCGAATACAACTTTCTGCGACGCAACACGCGATTTGCGACAGTTGCGACAAGAATCTGCCTGTCGTGAGCTGTCGCAAGCTGTCCATTGTGCGTACAAGAAATGCTTGAATACGATGTTTGCACATAGCAAGGTCACATCGTACATGGTGGCACATTATTAGCACAAGCCCTGTTCGCACAGTTTACGCTGGCACAGGACACATGTTACACAAATGCACAACAGTCCTCATCGTGCTGATGTCACACACAAGGGCAGAGCACTACTTGCGCATGGTCAGCCATTTAAGAAGCCTTGTCTCACTTACTGACACAGAGAATCTGGGCTTGAGTTTTTTTTGTGGCATTCTGAAACGTCTGCTTTTGCGCGCTAAACGTTACGGTTCTGTGAAGGGAACTTCCATTGGCTCGGATTGACGCGACGTGGTAAGGTGCTTGCTTGTGCTTATGCAGTAAGGCCAATGTCCCTAGCCAGCGCTCTGTTAACACATGGCCATGTTCTTGTAGCCAATCCTTGGTAATGAGATGAAATCCGTACTCCTGACATGCGTCCTCTGCAAACCGCTCAGTCACCCTGGGTCTGAGTGCTGGAGTTGCTGCGGCGTATACAGAATCGTTGGCATGGAGCCATTTGGCTGCAAAACAAGGGCATATACAGTTGCGGGTAGAAACATCATGAAACAAATCATGAAACAAATCTACGAATAAGGGGGGATTGAAATCAAACGCCCCGCTCCATGACACCCGATCTCATGGATACGTCTCACCCAATCTCATGGATACGTAAGTGGCCAGAGCTAGTGAGTAGTTCAATGTTCACAGGCCTGGGGCTTGGCATACTTCATAGAGTAGCACCGTGTCACATTTGCAAATCACTCAGCGATTTTATCAAGGGAGTAGTATAACACCGGGTTACGACACAAGCATACGCATGAAATGTTTCTTTGCAGATGAAATTAATTGGTTACTCATGCGGGGATATGACCCTGGCTAGAGCGGTAGGTTTCTCTTTGAAGAGGGAAACCTCGGTTGCATTCACTACTCCCGCCGTCTCTGTTTCATTCCTCCTGTCCCACTACTATCACTGGACACAGCCTTTAACCCATTCAGCTCTCTATGTATATGTTATCGCATGGTTGCAAGGGCCTTATGGCATATTATTGCCCCGAGAGGTTAGCCCGAGGGCCGTAGGCCCGAGGGCTAACCTCGAGGGGCAATAATATGCCATAAGGCCCGCAGCAACCATGCGATAACGAATTTATCACATGGCCCACAGAGCAGACCATTGGGCTGCTGTTGAAATTGGCCCAAATGCCAACATATTATGACCACAATGTATATTGATGTGCTATCATTATCAAAACAGGAACAATGAAGATATTTCTCCTACACCCTAACAAAAAGTCTGCTACAGGCCATCAGAGAGTATACAGTACTGAAAGACGGAGACAGAAAAAAGTGCCGGCACCGCATCGTCATAGCAATAGACATGGCAGTGACTTTGCGAGGATCTGAAAACGCACGACGCTGAGTTGAATTTGTGTTATTTCAAATAATTGTTTGTGATCACAGTGCCACTTCGAGCAGAACTGAATCTTATCCAAAAGCTTACCGACGGTCAGACTGCCAACATGACTGAACAAATGATCCCTGAAAGCACCACACGGCACACGTCCGAGGCCATGTCCATTGCCGGGATGTCCATCTCCAAAAAGAATTCCATCTTCGTCTCAATGCTACACTGCGACTCGTCGTAGAGTCGTACATTCTACAGAGTCGTCGTAGTCACGCGAGGAAAGCTGAGATCGCCACTTTCGACCACGCCTTCACATGCCACCCTGCGCCGTACAGTCACCATGCCCACCATGTTCACATCCCGTAGATTTCACGCGTACAGTCTC